GTTGAGTTTCTGCAGCAGAATTCGGATTGGTGATTTATGTGGCATGACTCATGGGCGAAAAAGTCTAACTGAAACTGAAGCGGGTCTAGATTTATGTGGTCCTATACTCGTATAGCTGACCAATCTGTCCGTCCAGCTCAGCCCGACAATTCCCAGACACAAGGCAAACAAGCCAAGGAGAAATTGAAAACTTTTGTATGAAACGACATTCCAACAATGTGGGAAGCTAGGTGGCCCTCGTTCTGGTGGTGCAGAAAAGTCAAGTGGAGTGGGCCAGCAAACATGCCAATATTCTGCAGGCACTTGGCACATATAATGTAAGGAAAGTGCGCTGCAGGGCGTTGAACCCTTGTGAAAAAGTGAAATGCATGCCGTGCATTGTGAAAAATATTAAGTACTCGAAAGACACAGTAGACAAAAGAAAAAATATCAACAAATATTTAAAACTTTAATTTACAACAAAATTCAAAAAAAAAGTATTATTTTTTTTATGAATTCCATTTTGAGTAAACGATAGTGATCTACAGAAATCCAAAGACATATTGTAGTTTCTCATTATTAAACTTATTAACAATTTACCCACTCAGCCCTTGTCTAATAACAATTATTTGGATTTTATTTTCTAAAAAAAAAAATTCACGAGCTTAAATTTAAATGCTTAAAAAAGTTTTTCAATTAAATCAACTCTATCGTGAAATTACACTCGAATTTAATTGAATTTCCAATCGTATATAAATGTTGTTTACTTTTATTGCTTTCAATTAGTTTAGAACAAAACCGGTAAATAATTTATTTTACCTTCAATATAGTCTGTCTGAGCTGTCATTGCATTTTGTTTCAGATATAAAGATTTTGTGAAAATATACTCCTATAGACAAGGGGGACAAAACTACCAAAATTGTAGAAATGTGTAGTCATTTACGAAATGTGTGTTCAATCAATCGATTTTTCTGCGACTGTAGAGAGGCTGCCAAAATGCAAATGAGTGGGTGGCCTGGGTGGCCTCAGATTTGCTTCGCTTTGGTTTTACTTTCCGCCAGATACTCGCACTCAAATGCGAGTGCGGACTCGTATTTCGGTCACCGAGTGCGTGGAGGGGGATTCACTTGTGCATGTCAATCACATTCTGACAGCTCCGACGGAGGCATATAGCATCCAGCATATAGAGCACATTCGCACACACCTCCCCGACCATCGGAGCCATCCATCTAGACCAGGCACAATCCATCCTCATCTGGGTGCCAACGATGCGACGATGAGACAACATTCTCACATTTGATTGACAGGCTAAAACGGTAGCGAGCAATGAAACCGAAAAACAAGACCACTGCGATTTACATATTTTTCTAGTAATTAAATACAGCCAAGTTTTTAATTATGCATGGCTAATTTAATTTTATTCAGGTGGAAACATTTACGCAGCGCACGAGAAAAAAAGCAAAGCACGCGATATTAATGACTCAATTATTAATTGGCGTCATAAAAGTCTAGAAAAACCCGCTAAACACCTACTAAATATGCGAAATTCATATTTCATGGCACCGCTCATAAAAACGCGCGATTTCTGTCCAAACTATTAATTAATGTTCTGTGCGTAATTATTATTTTTAATGTGCGGCATTTAGTTTACGCTCTGATCTCTTGCATCCCACGTAATTGCACTGGCAAGAATGGGACAAATTTAATGTGAAAACAATTTCAAGTGTCAAGTGGGGACATTTTTTATAGAGTAATAACACTTATAGTTTGGGAGCCAATGATATTTGCTAGAGAAATATTTGAATATATTAGTATTTTTAATGCGACAATTAGCACCTCATCGACAAAATAAAAACCTAATTAACTTTACAACGTGTTTTTTAAAGTGAGCTGGTGTAATCGATTGTAAGCTAATTAATTAAATTGAGTTGCATCCCTACGAAATCGTTTTTATGATTTGAAAACTGTTCGATTTGCATATTTTTCTTGCTATACTGCTGATTACGCAAATTAAATAAACTATTCATCATATGGCACAAAAATGGTTTATACATTTCTGAAATTACAACCAACTAATAGCTGCACAGGGAGGTCGTTATATTTGCATATATGGGCAAAACAGTTCATTCAAAATTCATTGGGTCCCGCGACTTTGCCAACTCACTTAAATATTTAGCCAAGCTTGTTGGAAATCAATTTCGGAAAATTGCTGGTATTTATATGGAAATTCAACCGTGCGGGAAAATATAATGGGAAAAAATTAACAGAATTTATAAGAAAAGTTTTGCCTGCCACCGAAAAGTTTTGCCCAACAACAAAAACCAGCAACCACAACAGGGTCCAGGGAATGGGTTTTAAAATGATAAACTGACCCCCACCGAGAATGTCCTTCTTATTCGTCTGCATTCCCAGACGCCCCGGCAGAAACCACCCAAAACTTTCCTGGCCACGTCGTCTGTGTTTTGGTAAACTTAATTCAATCAGCCGAAAATTGCTTTAAAGTCCAAAATGATTTGATATTCCTGCGTGCGAGATTTCAAAGCAAACTTTAATGAGCTGATTTTTTGGCAGCAGTAATTACTTTGGACAAGCGAAAATTACTTGCTGAGATTCAATTATGTACATTAAGCAGCACAACAAAGTAAACAATGAAAACTGAAAGGGGCTTGGTGGTATGCTTTAAATACTTTTCAATTTAACAACTGAAACATTCCCCACAAGAAGTTGAACACCTCTTTTAATTTAATATTAAGAAACAAAATTGCAAATTTTTTTTGTTCGTTTTTCAAAAGCCTAAATTGTGGCAACACAAAATGCCGAATAATTTTGTTTTTTCTTATATTATATGGAAATATTCCTTATTCCAGGCGAAATAAAAATAACAGACTTAATTATTTTATTTCTATGCATTTTGGAATATAAATTTAAGCCTAGTAATAAAAAAAGTAATAAGCAATATTTATTATTTTCTTTAATCTTAAGTAAAAAAGTAGTCAATTTTATGTGGTTTCTTCTTGGTGTAAACCCCTTTTGAACGGTGTTTAAAACATACAAAGTTTTCCATAGTTGATCATTTAATTTAAAGTTTTCCGCATTTCACAGAAGGGACAATGCTGTGCGTACAAACTTTTAGGATTTGAGGAATGGTAAACAATAAACATCTAGTAAATTCGGAGGAATTTAAAGCACTTTTCAGGGTCAACGGGAAAGGCTTTAAGCAAACTGTCGGAAGTTCAACCAGAAGGATTAAAAGTTTTTGCTCAAAGGCCAAATTGAAGCTCGACTGCAAGGAACGTCGACAGTGTCTATATTTTCTGTGTCACTCTTTCCCCGGGTTTTTCCCAGTTATTCCCGTCTCCTTGGACTTTCCTCAATATGTTTGCCAGAGTGTTTTCTCACTTTCCTCAAACCAAGATGAACTTTTTGCTGAAAGAAAACTTTAACTGGCTTCGCATGGAAATTATTTCAGCAATTTCTTTGCAAGTTGAGTGCGAACAAAAACTGAGAATTTGATATTCTCCTAATGACTAGTAGAAGGAGGGAACTAACTCCTGGTTTTGGCCAGGTGGATAGAAACCAAAGTGCAGAGCAATTAGATTTCAATGCTCGAGGCGTCTTAAGTTCCAGTTTTAAACTGAAAACAAAGACAAATGGTAGAAGTGCTTAGAAATGATTTATTTTAACTATAAATTAAAGACGGTATTAAGTTCTATAGGTATCAGTATCTAACCTGGCATTTGTTAGCCTTGAGTTCAAATTTAAACTCATTTGCAAGATAAACTAAGGCACGGGTCTTAAAATCTATATCTTATATTCAGTTTAATATACAAATTTCAAGTGCACCGTATGAGATACAAAAATATTTTCTGTTTTTATTTCGTTTACGTTTTATTATAAGTATTTTGCGTAAAATTAATATTGACAACTTATTATTTATATAAATGCAACGTAACCAATAATTTTTGACGGGTTATTAATCAAAGAAGTTTTTCCCTCTCACTACTATAATTTTTTAAATGATCATTTAACTTGTCAATACCGATTGTACATATAAAACGGCAAAAAATCTGAGCCAAAGTTACATGCGTGAGTTACATAAATTTATTTACAAGAGATTAACACAGACATAATTAAAATTAATTACAAAAAGAAAAAATAATTCAAAAAGTAATTAATCTTATGCAATTTACCCGCGAGGGTTTCGTAATTTTTAAATTAAAAATTTTTTTTTGATTCAAAGAAGTAGAAAATATGTGCTTAAGATAAGACCAAGTCTATGGTAAAACACAACATGCTACTCTCTCCTTCACTCCCATTTAATTGAACTAATTTATGGTATTATTATAATCTTTAGTATACCCCATTGGTAGTTTTTATAACCTCTTTGTATCAACAAGCTCCTGCCAAAAGTGGTAACAGGACTGCAACAGCTAACAGGCGTCTGTTGGCCAACGAAAGTGAGAGTTCGTATAAGAGAGAAAGTTTCGCCCCTAGAGTTTTCCCGCTCGCTCTTTTCCTCTCTCCCGACCAACTGTTAAGTGAGGGAAATTGCAGCGGGGAAAACGGCAGCAGACCGCAACACGCATCAGGCCAATCGGGCGACGAACCTGAAAGCCGAGAACCGAGGCAAGTGTAAAAACGAACGAGTCTGCAGTCGGAAAACTCGCATCGGAAAATTCGCATCGGAAAACTCGCATGCACCACAACAAAATTCGCCGGCTTGTGTGGCGCGCAGTATGCAAAACAATGCCGGAACGTGCAGTTCTGCCACAGAACCCAACAAAAGAGTGAAAACTAAGGCCAAAACTACGAACAAACCGAGAGAAAAGTCAACAAAAACTTTGCCAGCACCAAAAAACTAAATTTCGATAAACGTGCGTGTTGAACATAGTGAAGGGTAAAAAAAGAGGCGGATAGGGGGCGTGGAAAAAGATAACCCCGGGGGTTTTCTGGCTGCCTGCGTCTAATGCAAATTAGCAGCCAGAACGCACGAAAAATAAACAAATAATTCTACTCCCAGCCGCAGCCATATCACAAATAAATCAGGCAGAGTGAAAAAATAACATTAGCGGGAAATCCGAGAAATTGCAGAAACGTTTGCCAAATATTTTGAGAACCCCGAAAAGTGCGTTGCGTGCCATTTTATCGAAATCGAGAGGATGAGTGCCTAGATGACACAATATATTCAAGCGGTAAGCAAAATATCTTAGAAGAAACATTCCATGTACTAGGGAAAAAATTCGGAAAGAGTTCCCTTTGTATGCACTGATAAAAAATAGAGTCTTCTCATGTTAGTTTGTTTATTGAAAGTAACTTGATAAATTACTTAAATTTATTTTATAAACTTATAAAATATGATAACACAACAAGTTGACACCTTATTAAGCACGTATTGAATTTATTGAAATTCTGTATTTATTTATAGGATTGCAAGATCGGCATTGTAGTTCCATTAAAAATTGTTTGTATTTTTTTAAAACATTCTGTTTTAAATTCTCCTTGAGAACTAATAAAATCATTTTTAACTGTCAAAATAAAAAATACCTGTCAAACTATTTTCTCTCTGCTCGGGTTGTCCATTTCCACGTTCAAACGTTTGTATTTGTGTGCGATGAAATTTATCAGATAACTGAAATTTTGTGCGAATAGCAATTTGTAACTGTTGAATGTTTTGGGTTTGGAGAAAGGGGTTGCTCTTTTAAGATGATATGGATTGGAGAGGGGAATGAGGGATTGGCTTGTCCGTTGATGTGGAAACTGAGAAGGGCTGACCAACGGTGGCAGTCACAGAAAACCCAGAAAACCCAGAAACTGTTTTTGGGAAATGAAACAGAAATTGACAAATTAGGAAAAGCTGGGTTGGGATAGTAGGGAATGCTATTCAGAAGAATGCTTTGCAGAGCGTGAATGCAAGAATTTAAGCAAAGACAATTTGATTAAGTGGTTCTGTGACGTTCAGAATAATAATTTAAACATAAAATGGTAAAGCAAAACGATTTATTACCATTTAACTTACACAAGGAAATTATTGCATGTTCTTTATAAGCCATAGTTTTATTTATTACAATTTAATTATTTTATCGGAGCAGAAATTAATCTAAACTATGATTTATAGTTTTAAATTTTTATTTAAAGCTAAGTTTAAAATAGTTTATTATGGGGGGCGCACAAATTGTTTGGCTTGATTTATTTATTTCTTAATCTTTAAGAATTCCTTCAATAGTTGAACTAGGAAACTCAAGCTCCTTTGGCCTTTGGCCTCCCATCCTTTGAACCAATAAAACGCAGACTTAAACAGAAGATAACTCGGTGTATGAGCTCATCCAGCTAAGTAAAGTCCACTAAAACAGAAACCACCTAACCAAACCCATCCCAACCCGATCCAACCAAAAGCGTGAGGGGAGGTCTCCTCCCCATGGCCATAATGCCCAATCAAAAGGCCGTTGCACTCGCTGACTAACGGAGCAACTGAGTGAATGACGTGCGCTGGCCGAATCCTTCAGTCAATCGGTTTGATGGCTTGAGTCCGAGTGTGTGGCAAGGAGCAGAATGGGAAGACAACGCAAACAGCGGGCGAAATACAAAGGGGCAAGTCACGGAGGAGGGGCAACGAAGCATTTCAGCAGCTGCTGCTCCGCAACGCAGGGCGTGTAATTTGTCAGACAGATTTCTTTTAGCGCCAGGACACCACCCCTCCAATCCAATCCCGCCGACAACCCACCAAACCCACCAAAGCCACCCACCCAACCGACCGAAAAAATACCGCCCACGTCATTGCAACCAAACTGCTTCCTTCCTGCCATTTGGCCATGCTGTTTGAACCAGAAGAAGGATCCTCGCCGAGTACTAGTTTACTCTTACATTTTGGATTAACCCTAAAGGAGCTGCAAAATTGAATTTACCAAAATCAATCTCTCAAAAATTGAGTTCCACCGATATAGTAGCTTGCGATGTATAAAATGTTTCCATATTCGCTATCTATTCATTTTTGTAATATGAAGCACTAAAGTTTCTGTATACAAAGAATAAAAGCTATAATCCGCAGTTGAATTTTATTTAAATACCAGATCATGGTTAATTTTTAAAACTTTTGTTAGTATTTTATTGTTTTTATTTAATTTAAATATTTTGTTATTTATTACCATATGTGCAGAATATCTTGCATATTTGTGGTATGTTTTTCTAAAAACCTTTTTTAAAGTTAAAATTGCATTCTGTGATTTCACTACAGATACTGGCTATCATTTTCATTTTTGCAGTAAAAAATCCTTCGAAAATCATAAAGAATTAAAAAAAGTACCTTCTTTTTATTAGAAACCATTGAAAAAGTACAAATGAGCAAAGACTAAGTGAAAGGTATAGGAAAAGAAAGGGAAGAAAGCGCCAGACATTGACATTTCAGTGCAAATGAAGTGATAAAACGTAAAGGCAAAGCGGCGTCAGCTCGAAAATTGCCAAAGCGGGAAAGGAAGTGTGGCGACGAGGTGGGAAAATGGGAAATGGAAAAAAGAGAGAGGGAGGGACAGACATAGCCAGAGAGAAAGAGACGGGTGGATTGAGCTAGAGGGAGAGGGTCAGACAGACAAAGCGCGTCGAAAATGCGTCTAATTTGATGGAAGCGATGCATGCCTTAACCTTTCGTCGGCGTCAGGCAAACAGACAGCAGCAGCAACAACGAAAACAACAATGACAGCTACCAAATGATAGCATTTCCTCTCGACTCAAAGGATCCGAGTTAACCAAGAACAAGGACACAGCGAGTGGAAAGGTTGGCCAACTGCGAAGGGATGAGCACCGGATTCAAATGGCGGAACAAGTGCCAGAGATGCTGATGTGGCTCCTCTTCAGCCGGTGTCTGCAAATTGATGGCCAAAGATGCACAGGAATTCCTTGGAAATTAGTCAACCCACGAGGGTATTTCCACGAACAACATCTCATAGGGTCACTCTTTCAGAGAGATAATAGCTTAGTTATATGTTTACTAAAATTATCTACATCGAAAAATACAATTTTCCCCTTTGTGTTAATCTTTATAAGCTAATACATTGTCCATATACACAGTATTTAATTATATTTATCATTGCACTTATTTTTTTTACTTTGAACCAAAAGGCAATAATAAAAAGTGACTGGCATCCCCAAAAAGCAAAAGTAAAGTAAATATTTAAAAATATATTGATCTATAAATATTGTATCCATAAATAAGCAATTATTTATTAAATTAGTATTATAATTTCAAGTCAAATCAAGCATCTATCACAAGTTGTTACCCAACTTCTATTTAGTTGTGTGGACCAAACTAAAAGTTAGCATTACACTTTGCAAGGACCTAATTAATTGACACAAACCAATGTTTCCGCTTGGATCAACGCCTCGGTTAAAGTTTTATGCAGCTAATTAGGGAATTTTCAATAATTATTCATCATAATTGACAATTCAGTTTTTAACTAGTCATCACTTGCGGGCGGGCGACTCCCATCGCCATCAACTTTGAACTTTTTGTGCAGCATCAGACGACATAAAACGAAGAAAACTTTTGCAATTAATTACGGACAAGGGCCCTAAACTGAGAAGGGGTTAAATCGGGCGGTGGGTCACGTTCAACTTATCCCATAAAAAAATAGAATACTAAAAACCAACGCGATAAGAACAGCTGAACTCTATGTCGAATAGATCTGGTGCAATTAGTTCTATTTTTTCAGAGGTAAAAGGAAATTGAAATGCATTCAGTGTGGGGCAAGGGGAGGTCACGGATATCATATCCAACTGTGGGTCTTCTCCCTTCCCCCACTGAAATGGCCTACTTAAAGGGAATTAATGAGAATGGGAGAAAAACGAGGGGGGCGCTGACTAAACATCCACATCATGATAGATGAGTTAATGAGGACTTAGTCAGGGTTCCATCTGGGCCAACTGATGGCGAAACTGTCAATTAATGTGAGCCAGCAGTCGCTGATGATTGGATATGCAAGGATATACTAAGGAAGAAAAACGGATCTGAAGAGGCGGAAAATGAGAAACGTGAATCCAACTATTGTGCTGCATTGGCGCCAGTGAACTGATATTAAAACACAGTCCACAAAAGAGTGAAATAAACTTCGTATATTATAAATGAAATTCCAAGATATACGAATATAAATTAAAATATTTTAATATATAACCAATAACTACAAATAAGCTTTAAAGGATTAACATAACCTTAAGACACTACATATAAGTAAAATAGTTAAAGTCAAGCTAAGGGGGAATGCAGAAAAATTTTGAATTCTTGACCGAAGGAAAAACTAAGAAGGGAAGAGCCAAAGTTTTCCAGCACATCAAAATGTTGGGACTTTCAGTAAGACAATAGCTGCCACCACAGAAATTTTGCAGTCATTTTTTGCTCTGCTCCTTCTGACCACCAAAAGTTTTCCTGCGCATGTGCAACTTTAGCCTGAACGGAAAAACTAATAATAGCAGAACCTGCCTGTCTTCATTAAAGGTGCAACTTTTCCAGGGTGCAATATTGCAACAGTTTTCGTTGTGGGCCCCCAGTTTGGGCCCCCCGTCAAGAGTCAGACCATGATTAATGTTCAAATTAAACAAGGCCGCACTGACGTTAATGACGACAAAAGAGCAGCGACGATAACAATGCCACAAGCGGTAGGAAAACACAACTAAAACAAAAGTGTTAGTCACACCCGAAACAAAAACAACAATGGCTTAGAGCAGATAATGATGCCCAAGTATATACAGAAATGATTAGTCTGGGGCCTCACTCAATGTCGGCATAAAGTTATCAGCCGTTGTTGTTAAAGTGGACTTGGTTATTAATGTAATGAGAAAAGGATGGACAACTCAGACGAACAAACACTAGTTGTTATACATAAATTTTAGATGTTTTTTGTTTAACCGTAAATAATAATTACATTTCATGGCCCTATGCATTAATTTTATTTATTAACGTATGTAAATGATTCCCCATAGCTAAAGACAAGTTTTTTAGTGGGTTAGTGTTTTCCATCAGCAAAATCATCCATTATTTTAATTGGCTGTAAATGCAAGTCACCAAATCAATCAATTCCCAAGGCCTAGTCACCTAGAGGCTTAGGCAAAGTAATTCCCCATTATCGAATGTGTTCGAGTTTTCACTTAATTTGCACAATCATTTAGCATGTGAGCCTGCATTTCGCTACGCATACGATTTGAATTC